TCCAATTAAATGCTTTCTTTTATAAGAGATGCCTTGGTTGTGGTGTCTTCACAGCAGTATAGCAGTGACTAAGACATCCTGTGACTGTGTCTGTGACTGACTGATGGTTGATGTGGACTGCACCATCCCTTGACAGGAGGGAGTGGACTGTGTGTATAAGAAAGCTAGCTAGGCGTGAGCCTGGTAGTGTTCTGGGTAGTAAGCCAGCAAGCAGCTTTCTCCTTTGATTTCTGCTTGAGTTCCTGCCTGTCTTCCCACAATGATAGATTGTAACCTGGAAATATAAGTCAAACACCCCCGCCTTTCCTCCGCTGTATTGCTTTTTAACGGACTGCTTTAGCACACCAACATAAATGCAAACTAGAACTAATAGGCATCCCAGTTCGTGTTGTTTTTTTAAATCTAGCAGTTCTTATTCTCCAGTAGTAGCAGAGCGTCTTCTCAGGAAGGAGTCCCCCAGGTAGCCATCAGTTGATTTAAAAGGATCTTCACTTATTTTTCTCATTTAATTTAAACTGAGTCATAGTGATTTATTCTTAACTCTATTATAGGCACAAAAATTTAATACTTAAGTGTATTTTGGGGAAAAAGCCACCTTTAAGATCTTTTGTAAAAAGTGCATTTTAAATTGAAATTGTAGATACCTTTCCTCTAAATAAAATAATCAGGCTTTTCAACTGCTTTCTTATCTTTTTATCTTAACTATTGTATGTTTTTGTTTTTTAAAAGTCCTCTTTCTTTTCCATATTTAATTATAGATTTTTTTAACCATAGGACCCTGTGTAACCTCCTCTCATTTTCCTACAAATAGTAAACCTGTGCTTGAACAAAACACTCCAGCCTGCTGTGGTTCTGTCTCTGTGTCTGAGGACTGTGTCTTTCCTCCCTCTGCCTGTCTAGTCCTTCTGTGCTGCTAACTTCATATGTCATCCGTTAAGGAGCCTTCCAGTTCTCACTGCTGAAAGTCACCATGGCCTCAGCTCTGAGCACTTTACTTTCCTTCTTGTCCTTTGCTGCCCAAACCAAACTGCCCTTGAGGTGACCAGTCAGTCTTCTTCACCTCTGGTTTTTTTATTTTGTTTTGTTATTTTGTTTTTCCTTTCTTTTATGTAAACAATGTTTTGACACTCTGGGTGTGCTTGCTACATGTAGGGTGATTATTTGGTTTCCAAAATAGCATCACATTTTAAAAATCTAGCAGGACTCCTATAAAGTCCTCAATAGTGGTGAGAGGTGACAGTTGGTAGTACAGAAAATAACAACCTGAGGACTAGGAGACCCAGTCAGTAATCCCCCAAAGGTGAGCCTACAGAAGTACAGCATAAAATAGTGTGTGTGTTTGGGGGGTGGGGGGTGGGCGGGGATTAGGAAGATGTGAGAGAGTAGAAAATTTCAGTTAAGTGAAATAAGTTTAAGAAGCATATTGTAAAATATGCTGACTGTAGGTAATGACTAGTCTCTACTTGAAAATTACCAAGAGTAGACTGTAAGTAAGTATTGCCATCTCTCAAAATATGTATGTGAGGCAAAATGTCTTCATATATTTACAATAGTCTATTTAAAATATCATGCTACTAAATTCAAGGAATTAGGCCTCCATCTATCTTGGTGATGAAGTATTCAGATCTGGTCAAGAATCACATGCTTAGGTATCTGGTTTAGATGATATTTCTTACATTTCTTTCTCTTTTTTCTTCTGTTTTTTTGAGAAAGATATATATCTCACATATATGTATGTGTGTGTGTGTGTGTGTGTGTGTGTGTGTGTGTGCCTGTGTGTGTTAATGAACTTAATTTAACTAATCTATAATGAATAAATATTTCAGGACATGACATGTTGAATAGTATATACAAGTTCTATTTTGAATTATAGATAAAATTGGATATTACCTTTTGGCCAAAAAAATAGTTTTATTTCTTTGCCATCAAGCTAAATAGCAGTTTTGAAAATTCAATCAAGAATTGAGATGATCTTCAGCTCTGTTATGAGATAATATAGGCAATGGCAAGATAGTCATAAAATCACCAATTTCTTATAATCAAAAAGTAAAGACTCTGCGGCTTTTAAAGAAATTCCACTGCAAGTAAGTTCTGTAAGTGGCATGCAAATACTGTTTCACAACTTGGTATAAAAATTGTTAGATTTAGTTTGACTGATATGCTTAATCTAAGATGACAATAATACTAAGTTTATATTCTTCTATAGGGTATGAGAATATTATTGAAATATTATTATCCAATGCTAGTCATAGTAGTATTCTCCATATGGAAGGAAGAGGTGGAAGATCAGGAGTTCAAGGTCCATCCTCAGCTACATGGTACTCTGAGGCAGCTCGTAGGATGTGAGACATTTTCTCAACAAGTCATGAGAGAAAAAAGAAAGAAGTAATATCTAAACCAGGTACCTGAGCCTGTGATTCCTGACCAGATCTAAATACTTCATTCACTAAGATAGATGGGAGGTCTAATTTTCTGTATTTAGTAGCGTAATATTTTAAGTGAACCATTGTAGACATTTGACTAAATCCGTGGAAATAGATGATGTAGTATCTAGTTGTAACACTAGGTGGTAGTAATTGATTTTAGAAACAAAATTGTAGAACTTAGTTCAAAGAAAACCACCTAATGTGATTTTCTTTGAACAGGAAGATTTTGCTACAGCTTACATTTTAGAATAAAGGAAACAGGCTGTTTGCTAATTATAGAATATCATTTCTACCCTGTCTGTTATTTGCTGAACTCCTAGCCCCTAGTCATTATAACCCAAAGACTAAAATGTTTTTATTTTGTACTATTAATATTCCTAAAGTTTATTGACAATTTCAAAGAGGTTTTACTTGTAGATAGTAGATACACTTATGATAGTAATATTCTTCATATTTGAAATTGTACCTGAGAAAAGCTTTTTAATCTATGTTCATGGTCCTCCTTACTGTATATTAGCTTTAAGTAGTCTATGAAAAGCCTTTACTACCACCCTAGGTTCATCTGTGTGTGAGTAGTGTCCTATATCAGAATCTTCTGTGCTTGCTTTTATGGCTTACTACCTCCTTGACCTTACATCTATGAGTCTAACTGTCTGCTGGGAACCCATTAGTGTTCACCAGGCCTGCCCAGCCTATGCTTCTGAGCTCCACTGCCAGTTGCTTATCTCCACTTAGAAGTCCCAAAAGTAGCTCAGTCACAGTTTGTATAAAAGTAAACTCATGCTCAGTCTTCACACAAATCCAGAACATGTTTCTTGAATTCTTCCTTTCAGTTAATCACTGTTTACCTACCGGATATGCCATGTTTATATTTGTTTAAGGAACTGAGTGTGGCATCACATACCTGGAGTTCCAGGTACAAAGGAGCCTAAGGTGAAAGGACTCTTGAAGCCAAGAGTTTGGGGCTGTCCTGTGCAATATTGTAAGACCCCATATTGAAAAACCAGGAAGCTCTGGCAGATTTTCTTTCCTTACCTGAGTATGTTAATTTTCATTCCTCTTCTCGTTGAGGTTAAACTTCTTATCTTTTCTGTCCTTAAATTTTTCTACATATGCCATCAGATTCAATTCAGATATTTTCATTCTTCTAAGACTGCCCAGACATGGAAACATGTTCTGCCACAATCTACTCTGTGTTGAGTGTGTGTGTATATACATATGTAGAAAGTTTGCATCATTTCCCTTTGCCCATAGTAAGTTCTTAGCATTTATAAGGCAGAGACTGTTTCTTAGTCATCACTGTTTCGCAGCCTTAAGCACATGCCTGGTTTCACTTAGAATAGAAAGGAATAACTTAAAATGTCCATGTTTTGCCAGACAGTAGTGCTGCATACCTTTAGTCCTAGCACTTGGGAAGGAAGAGACAGGTGGATCTCTGAGTTTGAGGCCATACTGTTCTTCAGAACAAATTCAAGAACAGCCAGGACTACACAGAAAAACCCTGTGTTGAAAAACATAAATAAATAAATAAATAAATAAATAAATAAATAAAT